GTGTGATGCCCTCATTAGGGGAGAAGAAAAGTGTTCGGCAGCATCGACATCCTTGAATGACCATTCCAACCAACATACTAGAAAAATTATCGCTTTTATAATCTAGCTAAGAACCTACTCACTGCTTAGAGCAGTCACTGTTAATACATCACTGATGTGAAACGTATACCACAAAAAGTTTAATAGGCAACTCAAAGTAACTAGTTAATAGCTTCAGGATACTGCCAAGCCACTTTGTCAATGAGTTTTGTGCATTGTGTTTACTTAGCACAGCCTTAAAATACGTTGGCGAACTCACTTCGTTCAAAAGATATAAGAAGCATTATTACTTCAGTTGGTGAATGCATTTTGTAGGAAAGTGGATATCATTATTCATATTCTATATTTTCCTCATTAAAACTCAAAAACGTTACTCTGGTTTGTTTAGCGCATCGATGTCACAGTACCGCGCTCACTTTAGGTTCTCAACTTACCGCGTGTTTTACTGGTTTTCCTGCCTTGGACAATGTTACTTCCTCTGGCAACTCGGAATAGTATATTTGAGAAGATCATTCAAGATGGTGTGTTAACGGCAAGGAACGATACCCGTCCATGCTACACTCATCCGACAATCAACGTTCTAAATCTTTATGTCATCAAGACAATGCGATCATTAAAATCTCGAGGATATGTTCGTGAACAGTACGCTTGGAGAACATACTATTGGTTCCTTACAGCTGATGGGATCAATTATTTGCGTGAGGTAAGATGTTACTCTGTGTTCTTTTTCCTTAGGTCTTGCACTTACCTTCTGATATTATTCCAGCTACTCTAAAAGCTCCACCCCGGGATATTCGAACACCGGCTGTAGGAATGGATCAAGGTGGACAGCGTGGTCCGTCTGATGGTCGTGTCGCGTTTAGAAGAGGACCGGTCACTCCTGGAATGACTGGCTTCGGTACTCCTGGTAAAGATGCAGCCATTGGTGATAGCGAGGTTCATTTCCATGGAGGCTATGGTAGAGGTCGATCTATGTAAATATATCTTAATATATTGATGCTGGAATCAGTGAAGCTTTTCTATTTAAATGGTGTATAGGTGCTCGACTATATAGATCTAGTAAATGCTGAGAACAGTCATATATCGAGGGCGATCGTAGAGACAGTTCTGGGTTGTCTATGGTCAAGTAGTGTCAGTAGGCACCCAAAAATAAGTAAACAGTACTAGATTTAGTGCCAAAAAGTGCAAACACCCATAATGTTCCTTACTAATTTGTATACTGACCTACTTTAACAGCTGAGTAAGTTCTAGGTTAATCGATCAGTAACTGCACTGATGCGTCAGTCGATACAAATTTCCAGGTCTCTAAATACCGTCTGATTTTGTTCGACCGAACTCTGGGAAAATTAGAAAAATGGAAAACCTCTTGTTATCACCAGTATCAGTGTGGAATTTCAAACTCGAGATACTGTATCAGATTCAACAGTAGCATGTGGGTGTTACTCAGTGTAGGTTTATCTGCTTGTCAGGTTCCATTTCATACTTTATCTCCCTACTCGTGTTGTGTTTACGTAAGCGTCCGATAACTCGTTTGTGCTCAGGTCGTGCATGCTTCAATGTGTTACTCTTAGTAATTTCAAAACTTGTTAAGCTTCGAAGTAGATCAAATGTTAGTTTGCAGGCCCTCGATGCATGAGGTTGCGTTACTAGTTGTTACATATGTTGATTACTAGTGACAGATTTGCTTAGTGTCCTATCTTGTCTAACGAAACATCTTAAACGATGTATTGAGTACGCTATTTTCGGTTATATATAACTTTCCTGAAATGCAGTGTCAATATGGTACTTTGATTGTATTATTAATATGGAGTCAACCTGCATGAGGCTTGATATTAGGCTCTTGATGTCCTTGATCTTGATAATTTAAACGGACTGTTAATTAAAGCGTGAATAGTAGTTTCAGTAAATATCGTCATTTCATTCTATTTGTGTTCAAATAAATAAATAAATAAAATAATTTTGACGGACAATTCTTGTCACAAACTAATAGGTCTGTGCCTTTACCCTTTTCTTCCCTGTCGGGCTCAAAAATGTATTTGTTTTAATAATGGAAGCTTTGTTGGTGATTACCACAATAAAGTTAAAAGTAATTTTAATCCGATCGGTTATATATCAACTGCAATGATAATAATTGCAATGGTAAACGTACTTTGAAATTTCATAGTGATGTAAAAAATGTTTCGAATAGTGATCTCAGTGTTAGCCCGTCAAAGCTGAAAATTTTACTGCATGTCGGAACACGAGGTATTTCTAATGCCACATTGTCGGGATGCAAATAATCAGTCAGAATGTAGCAGAATCCTGACGGATGAACAACCAAAATGTCCTCGAGTCCGTATTAGTCTTTCATGACTAAGGCTTTAAGTAGTGCGTTTCCTGTGTGTTATGAAGTAGTTATGGTTTGATTTTCTCAGTCTGGATTTCGAGTTCTAAGTATTAATTTCGCTCTTAATCGTTAAGTCCTTGTATTTAAGCTTTCAGTTGGAATTATGTTTATCAGAGCACCATAGGGGTCAATTTTTGACAGCAGTATTAATTTATTAGATCTATCCTTTAGTGTACGTAAGTGTAGGCAAATAAGATGACCAAGCGTATTTAAATTTATGGACGTAATATCAAGATTATCTAGTTACTAAATTAAGCCAAAATATTAGGAACTTGTAAAAAGCCGTACACGACCGGTATCAAGCATTTAGCGCTCGACTTCTACGGACTTGCTCCCTAATTGTCAAGACTACTCCTAACCTAATTCACTTTTCGGGTCCGTCAAGAGATGTTTTTTTCACGGTGTAAATAATAGTGTAGTGCAGCCATCCTCGTACCTCTGACAACACTCGATTGAATAACTGGATTTGCGGTAGTGATGGCACAGATTCCAACTAGTAGTTGTTCAAACATTGTCTTAGTCATACACAACGTATATCTTGCAACACGTGTATTGGCTCAAGTTGCCACATCACATTAGCACACCAAGATAGAGTTTTCAAGACATATCGGGCAGTATTAGAAGTAGAGTTTTTGCTCAAGAGAATCAGAAGACTGGATTCTGTGTCTTCACCAAACCGGATTTTGTCATTCAGGCATTCGAAGTCAACAATTGAATTCTCTGTTAGGATATAAATTCCTGAAGAGCCAGACGACAAGGACGTCATTTCTAAAAGAATATCTATGACGGGGTTAGGTAAAATTTGAGAAAGTGGATAAACCTGACGAACACAGTTTCGGTAATAGTTCACCGCAAACTTAACCGTAAGTGTTTAGTTAGAGAGCATGTATTCGGTTGATTTGGATCTTTGGTACACCTTTTAATGATAGAAGCTACCACACTATCTAAACCAGAGCCGTAGTTCCTAACTAAGTTCATATATAGACTACAGATTTTAAAGTTAAATGCAGCCTTAAAGTGAGCCATTGAATATTGATTTCTGAAATATAATCCACAGAATTAGTGAAGTTCTCCAATATCTAGCATCTTACCAGTTTCAGAGCGATCAAATTACTTTTCACTTGATAGCATACTTAGGAAAATAAGTACGTAGAAATCCAAAGCTATTCAAATATGTCAGAGCTTCAATAGCGATGAGCTAATGGTTAAGATAGAAGTAAAAAATTGATAAGAAACTTGGTTCAAAAGCGGATAAAGTTGAATAGTTAGCACATTTGCAGCCCTTAGTTGACTGCAATCGAGTTTGATTCCGTGCACCATACTTTAAAAAAACACCAATTCACAACCTTGGTATAAAAAGCCAGATATGAAATGCACTGAAGGAATATATCTTAAGCATGTATTTGTAAGATGACAACCATGTAAGTGAATGAAAATGGTTTGAGATAGATTGTTTAGCGGGACTAAGAATATTTACGAAAAACATATAGTAGACAAAATATAAACACATGAACAGACAAAGATATAAGGAAAATGTATAGTTTGTCGTATTTTGACCCTATCGCTAAAACATTTTGTAAATTAATTTCTGGCTGGGGTGGTTGGAACATTTGTCTGTCCATGTGTATCCGTTCTTTATTCTAAAGGTTGGACTGTATAGTTTCAATTTCTATCCGCTACTAGTTCTTAGTATGTATGTTTTTAATTCAGTATCGTCATTGCTCCATCGTCCCTGTTTTTTGAACCATGGCACGTAGAATTGGCGCATTACCGTGGTACATTTTGGTTTGCCCCGTTTTTGATCTTCGATTCGAGGATAAACGTTCGTCAGTAGTTTCGAGAGAAACTACGTAATACACTGAACCGACATATCGTTTGTTTAGAAGTTGTTCTACGTGAACGTAAAATGATTTAAGTATTTCGAGGAGGATATATATGATTTTTATCTGCTTCAATACTTCCAGTGGGGTGGTTCAGTAATTAAAGCATTGGACTTTGAAGTACTTAATGTCAGGTTCAAACTTCACACCACCTTCTGTCTAAGCAATTAAGTAGTACTACTGACCCTCACAATCATAGTATGTCCTAAAGCCAAATACATGAGTCTGCATCTGATAAATGAGGTAGTAATATAACGATAATAGCCTTCTATGGAGGTTGCGCAACTATTGCGGTACTTCCTAGTCTCCCCTGAAATAAATTGAAAAGATTTCATCCCATCGAAAAATAAAATTTATAAAAAATTGAGCCAAAACAAAGGATATTTGTTGAAATTCACTATCAGAGCTTTATCCAGATATTTGTATATATAAAAATGTCATCTGAAAATGTTTTAGTATAGGTTAGTTTACTGTCATCATTAATACTACTGTTATTACCATCAGTAGTAGGTTTAATTGATACAAATTTGAAAAAGTCAAACAATTAGCTCGCCAAGCCTCATTTGTGCACAGCAATTAGATATGTATGTGCGTGTGTGCGGATGAACAGCATATATATATATATATATATATATATATATATATATATATATATATATATATATATATATATATAGGTAATATAGAAAGCATCTCAGAAAAAGTTGGCAATTATTTCGTTGATTTGATAATTGGCATATTGAGTAACAAAAAGATTGGTAAGAGAAAACATTGTCAGCAAATAGAAAAGTATTCTGAGTAAAATGATAGGATTTGGACATTTTGTAGTTGTGGTGTATATTTTCGGAGCAGCAGTCGAGAAATATATATATATATCGTTGTGATTATTGATAGTCTTCTGAATTACGCGTAAAGGACAATTGTTAAGTTAGAAAATAAAAAAATCTATATCTATAATAATCAGTGTATGTAGTATCTACTATTTATGTGGAATAGGAAAGTCAGATGAAGGTGAATAAGGTGTCCTACGATAGGCTGGTTCCTGTGTGTTAGGCACTGGATGATAATTTGTTCGTCTTGAAGTGACTTTTCTATTGTCATGATAGGTTGTTTGAATTGGTGAAATCAACGGCTGTCTTTGCTTTGGTTCAGTTGAAGTGTATTGACCAAGTCTTTGGGTTGGTTCTGTAGGCGGTACTTTTGTTCGTCTTCGCATGAAACGTTTACGTTTAAAGAAACCGGCCTAAAATAATGCAAGTTAATATTATGTTAATCAAATTCACATTATTTGTATACTAGATTTGTAAATAAAAATAAGCTATTTAGTTGTTATAGATAAGCCGAAAACTAAAAGTTTATTCGGATGACATCACTAACTGTTTGTTTGATATTGGCAAGTGGGATCAGGACCAACCTTGTTCAATGTTTAAATTCGTATTGTCTGTTATTATTGACAACATTTATACGCTTTTATCCTTGTTAGTCATCTCTATTCTTAACAAATGAGGATAGTTTTGATTTGATCAAGGTAGAGTTAATCATTGGAATCCCTAAGTTTCATTCATTTATACTTTATTCAGACTTTTTTGGTGAATGAATTCTAATCACCTATCGATTCTTTGCACGAATACTTTTATTTACGGCTTTTTATGCGATTCCCAAGTGTATTTTAGGGGTAGCCTTTTTTAGAATCACGGCAATAAACAATTCACTGTTTACAAGCATAAACTGAACAAGATTTCTTCTTTGAAGTGGTTTCCACTTTACTGTTTAGCTAAGATTTACTGATATGACAGAAATGATTATTACCTATTAGTTGTCAGTGTGAGATAATACTTAACTCAATAAATTTCTTTGAATATTTAGACAAAAATTAAAAGTCCTTAATCAAATCAATCAGTCTAAAATTTACTAATAATTAAGCTGAATTACAGTAACTTTTGGGATAATTGTTGTGGTCGAAATTCATTATGTTTTCTCTTTCCCAGCTCTAATGGTTACTACTTCCAATTAAGGGGGAATCAGTTTATCAACCAAAATAATGCATGTATCATATGCTGTAAACAACAAATAATGATTTTTAGAATTAATACTAGAAAAACAAGACCCAACGAAAGCATGAACCGCTAAGTTAAACCAACAGTGAAAATCTGGAAGCACTGGAATGTCGTTTCGTTCTGGTAAGGGACTCCCCGACGGTTCACATCCACGATCTAGCACATGGGACTCGAACCCAGGACTTCCGGGGTCACGCGTGAACTCTTAACCTGTAGACCACTAGGCCGGAATCCAACGGTGTTGGTGTCTAACTCCAATCAACCCAGGGCAATGCGCAACCACTTCCATTAGTTTCGGTGGGTAACTGCCTCACCTGATACGGTTTAGCTCCACTGATAGTTTAACCCTAATTGGTTCATGATTTGAATTGAACTTAACAATATCCACAACTTGATAATGAATATTTTGATTATTTTTCAAATGTTATGAATATATTGATAGTCAACTTACTTTATAAAGTATAATAACTAGAATAGATAACAATAGTAAACCTCCAAATACAGCTAATCCTATGTATAATGCCATATATTTTGGAGGGATTGGTTTCTGCTCTAAATTATTAAATATATGAACTTCAATCTAGTAGAATTAAGAAGAAACAAAAAATGAGTTGGATAACAAAGCATAAGAGAAGTGGAGTAGTAGTTTTATTATTTTCGTAATTACCCAACTAAACTGGAAACGCATGACAACAAATGGAAATATAGCAATGTAAAGGAGGAATATTCGAATTAGAGAGGTGAAGAAGGGGAAGGAAGGGCTTTTGAAAAACGAAAGGATCTTTCTATGCAATAGAATCATTAAACAAATGAAGTTTTTTAAAAATTCTTGATGATATTAATATATATGCTTGTGTATATGAAAGGAACATGCGAGTATATACAAATTTTTCACGTTTAGTAAGTGGAATTTATTTCTGGTAATGCATGATATCAATACTCTTACTTTAATGTAAGAATATGCTTCACATTTTCAATGATTTTGTATATTTAATCTGAAAAAGTTTTCACACCGAATTACGGTAAAAGCGAAACTATTAAATGAGGAATTATAAGCAGATATAGTTGGTGGCTAGCGGTGGAATCCAGGACGCGCTCGGGTGCGACCAGCTGAAGAGTCCCAAATAGGACGAAACGCGCATGCTGGATTCCACTGCTAGCTACCATCCATCTTTGCTTATAGTGCTTGCGACTTAAAACAATATTTAGACAATCTGCACTGGGTGCAAATATGCCGATAACAGACTGATCAATTGCAGTTCTAAACATTAGTGGGAAGATCCAAACAACCAATATAAAAACGAATCAAATTAGAAATTGTTTTGATGAGGATGGATTAAACCTAGTCGTAAGATTGTAAAATATATGCATAATCCATATTATGATTAACTTTCGAATCAAAAGTGGTTATTAAAATAATGAACTCAGCTGTCTACAATTCTGGATAGACAGGTCGTGGTTAACTCAGGGCAATAACTGTTGTTGACAAGTTTAATCAAAGACATGGTTATCTTTTAAGAGTTTATTCAAGCTGATAGCAATCACCATTGTTGTACAAGATTTATGGTGAAAATCTGTAACTATTACATGTGGTTGACAATGATGCATTTTGTACAAGCTATCTGAGTAAATCAATCTAAAAATCGTAGTAAGAAAATTACCAGTAAAATCAAATGAATAACAATATACAAGTTGTGTTTCACACGTACTGAATTTTAACACACGAATGTGTCCACATGCAGAAAAATATAGTGAACAAAATGTTAGACAAATACATGATTACACATCTTTATTCATTGCATTTTTTAGAAAGTAAATTAATCAACAGTAAAATTTTTAATCAGGATTTTAAATAGTCAACATAAGTTGAATACGAGTAAAGATGCTTTTAATCTACGGTATCAGTGTTCAAATACAGTGATTCTTTAATATGAAATTCTATATCACCAGTGAAATTAATGATGGTATGAAAAATTTAAATTAATTAAAATCTATACTGAGAGTTAAGTTAGTTGTGAAGTTTGTCTCAATTTTTAGGTAGGCTTCGCCACATCTGTCGACCTCAGTTGGTGAGTGGACTATTAGTGGAAATCATACAAGATATGACAAATGTTTTGTACTAGCTTGTGACTCTTCAACAGTGCATATTTATGATCGCACTAGAGATCAAACTTGATACCTACAGCGTTACATTTTGACTATTGAGTCAGCTTCTGATGATCTAAATTTCAGACTTCTGTCAGTTGTTGTGTGTCATCAGTGATACTTTCTCCATTTTCGATATTAGTAAAAGACTAGAAAATCAATTATCCTCTCTTTAATTTCTTGCGCTCATTAATTATATGATAGATAGTATTTCTAGAATCTTGTTAATAATCATAGTTGTTGAAAAATTTATCATCACACCAATACGTACTTTTGTAAGTTCCGAATATTTTTAACTTACGTGCATGATCTGTAGGAACAATGGATTTGTAAGTAAGGATGAATAACCATTTCACTACCGAAGGTTGGTAAAGTTATATTTATGGATTAACTGAAGTTGAAGAGTGTTTAAACCCTGAATACTAAATGAACAATCAATTTGCAGCTAAACTTGGAAATCGTGAATTCGATCATACTAAATATCCACAATATACATTTTTAAAGTCATAGAAGTAAACGGATCGGATATTCATTATCTACATATTAAAAAATAAGACATACTAACATCTACCTATATAATTGACTAATACTGACCATTTCATGGTTTATAATACCGGATATACAACTTGTCAGCTTATAGTAACTAAATTCTTTAAAACACTAAAATGTATGGTTAAATATTAAGTACATGTATAATGAAATTGACAATCGGTGAACAAATGAAAATATCCATATTTTTCGACATGCAGTTATATGACGATAATGACGCGAAACACAGATAAATGTATATAAACAAACAGTCGATAAACAACAGATATAGATAAATCCGTATATTCATTTTTAGATATATACATAATTTTATAGACAAATCATATTTTAATAAAATAGTAAGCGGTATTGTTCAATTTAAAAATGATAAGAATATTCATATTAATTAGGGAAATGACAAAATTAGTACAATTTTTCATTTCGTTTCAACAAAAGAAAAGATAAAAACAAAATTAAGAAGAATATTATTATTACTATGATTGTACAAATTTCGAGAACAGAAATATAATCCGTAAACCTAATAATGAACTTTCTATTATTATTATTATTGTTATTATTATTGTTATTATTATTATTATTATTATTGTTATTATTATTATTATTATTATTATTATTATTATTATTATTATTATTATTCAATATTTGGCCGCAATCTAAGAGATAGTCTACAAAAGAGATTCAAGGTCTGATATCAATCATTAAATATGAACTGTTTGTTAATTACCGGAGATTTGTACATGAGTACCAGTTTATCTTCACTGTGATATTCAAGTGAATATTTTATTCATTCTATGTAAGAAGGCATTTTTAATCTTACAATAACTTTAAATGATGGTACTCCATTTATTATTTAGATTAGAACATAATTTTATTAAAACGCAAATACATATTAATTTAATGATGAAAGGAATTTGTATCAGTTATATGGTGAAATTCTATTTCATAAAGTTGTGATTACTTTAGAAGACAGAATATATTACTCATCTTAAAATTTTATCGGTGTTTACGGCATTGGGAACAAAAGGAACTTTAAAAATCTTTTGAGCTATCGATTTTCTTATTTTATATAAGTATTTGGTTAGTTTAAGTTTTATCAAGTATATTATTTTATTTAACCATTGAATAGGTTACCATTTTTAAATCCTAGGTATGTAAGTGAACTGAATATTTAATTTGTTCTGGTTCAAAACCCTTCACTTGATATAAGGTCAAATCAAGGACCATTAAGTTTTATGGTAAACATTATCATTCAGCTACCCAATCAGAACCCAGCTATTGATAATAAGGATCTGTTCATTTGCCAAATACAATTGATCGAAATAGTGACTAATTTGTTAATAAACTTGATAGCCTAGTCTGAAAGTTTGATCGCCGTTGGAGTATATAATTTTGTAACATTTCATTTCTAAATTAGAAAACGAATATTTATTCAGTGCTTCCCAGTCTATACGAATTGTGCAAATAATGTTAAATCGTGATGAAAAATATCCTCATATTAGTCGATTTCTAGAAAAAAAATATTTAGCTGAATATAATTATTTAACATTTGTACAATCTTTTCTATGAAATACAACAACATTAATGGACTTCATTAATAGTCATTTAAAACCAGTTTATATTAACTTGAAACAGTTGAAAATAGTTTAGATTAGTTGAATACAAATTAAAGTAATTACGATTTGTAGCTCAGAATTAAAGATAATAATCATTATTCAAATATATATAGGCAATTGAAGAGAACAATTGAGGTACCGATAATGTTAGAATAAATTAATATTATCGTAAACATGTGTAGTTCGATCAAATAAGTAGGTTTTTTGAAATTCATTTTAAAAATGTCATCACTGCCTTACAATGCTGTTTAAAAGTCATTGCAAGTTATATACTATTTTTCCAATACATTTGTATTTATCATAATTTATTTACATGTATTCACGTTGCTTCCTAGTTTTCAAACATGGATGTATTTCTAGCTACTGTGGTGTCATTTAGATAAAACAATAATAATAATTTCATATTTTCAATGTTACGTTTCCATAAAGCTGTCCGATAAATAATCTCAATTAGAAAAACGAGTCATTTTGTCGGTCCCGTGAATTCTACATCATGAATTGTTTTACGACGCTAGAAATGCTTGAGAAAAACGGAGGGATGGTCAATGTATGACATGGTACCGTGGTATGAAGGAAAGTTGTACAGGACTGGCATCTGTTGGCCCTTCATGACTCTGTAGTTGAGGTTCTACAAATAGCCCGACACAGTAACCTGAGACATGATCCGATATTGATAGAATAAAAGTCAGTAAAAGTCTTCCTGTAATTTTCTTTTACTTTACAAAGATGAGAGGAACTTTAATTGAAAAAAATTCTTTCTGGTAATATAGTTCTTGATTGAACTGCCTTACTAATGGTATACTACCTTTGTTCACTTGTTTCTTTTCATTTATTTAGTTTGTTTTTAAATTGTTCTCGCCCTCCTTCTCCTATCTCTTTACACTCACCCTCTCTTATTTTGTAGCGCATATTTATTTTGGTTCCCATTTTTATTAATATTTTTGTGTTTAAATAAATAAAAAATGAATCAGTCGGTTTATAAATCTTTGTATTATTCATGGTTTATTTTGTGTTAAACCTTTTCATTGATGTTGACCGATTATCAAACAGTCAGGTAAGTTTTCACTAACACATTATCATCAGAAGTTCAATATGTAAAAGTGATATACAAATCAATGATAATCTAATGTAGTCTCATCAATTTCATGGGTCAACTATTTTACTACACAGGCAGTTACTGCCATATATGTTACTATTTTCAATTTACTTAACCAATCGTTTTTACCAATGACATATATTTACACACTTTCATAGAATGTTTACAACCTCTTGCGAATTTAATTTTTGAGAAACTTAAGAAGATCCATCGTGATAGTTTACATATTTCCCTCCTCTTTTGTAATCTGGAGAAACACAAAAGGCAAATACTATAGAATTCAGACATCAAATATATTCCAAAGATGAAAAGAGATGTCATAGCAGCAATGTAGATTGTAAAAAAAGTTACGGGTGAATATGAATAGTAGTTTATCACTGTTCTGAAACTTTTCTATAGATATTTTCTTGAATATTCACAAGTTCAGTACATAAATAAAAGTAATTTTTTTTGTAATATGATATATTTCATGATAACAATCCTTTACTGTAATCAGACATCTGGTATTGAATGAAGTGAGTATATTTATTATGATTACTCTGTCCAAATTTCGAGTATACTTTAGAGTTTATCAGATAAACAGTAAAATAAAGTAGGGTTGTAATTTGAATACCTTGGGAATATTGTTTCTAACAGAATAATTTCTTGTGATACTCAAAATAAATACTAAGAAGAATTTCACTTATAAAACTGTCCAATGTGAAGATTAATAATTCTGACACTTATTTTAACTTTTCTTTTTGACGTGTAAAATACAATACACTTAGTATTTGTTGCAATCATTGAAGTATCATTTTATCGAAATTAATCTGAAATCTCATCTGTTTAACTGCTGATTACTGCAAGCTATTGTTACATTAATTTTGAAATCTATCGAATTTAAACAATAAAGTATACATAACAGTTGGTTTGGGTAGAATCTTTATGAAATCTATCATTGAAATTTCTTCGTCGGTTTCAACTTATAAAGATAAATTAAATTTCAACTATTTGCGTATTCTGAGCGCAACAGCCTCAAAATACTATCATACTCGTTATTTGACTGATATTTTAATGTAATGACAACTCAATAATAGATGGATAAATTTCTTGGTCAAAAAATTACAGAGTTCTTTGGTAAAATATGACAACCAGACATCAAATACTTTATTTACAAATCTTTCATCTATTGTCCTTTACATCCTTGATGATTCTTTCAGTTCTTAATTCCTTTCCATTTCTTCTGTTTTCTTCAGCTCACTCTTCTCAACCTTCTTCTGACAGGCATAACACTTCTAGTCGGTGTTACATACTACTTATGTCGACAGACACAAGTAGAATATATCACAGAATTTCATTTTTTATTTAGTTATAATTTAAATATATTATTCAGTTATAATAGGTTTAAGGATGTTAACAATTGTTATTTATTTAGGACAAAATTCACCATCACTATTATTATTAAATTACTTAAAGCTAAAATAATGCATAATTGATTGAAAAATAAAATCAAGTGGAAACACGGATAAAATCTGTGTATAATTCCATTGACTTACTGTATCTTGTGCATAATCCGAACCGCCAAGGTCAATGCCATATTTAACATCAGCTTTCCATGTTGCAGTCAGATGTAGTTTAGTCAAAAATACTTTTAAAAAGTCCTAATAGTCAATAAATGAATAAATAAAAGACAAGTTGAGAAAGAAGGTGAATATTATTTGAAATTATTAGTATAGGAGATTTGTAAAGATAGTTCCATTTTTTGGCTTATATTATCGACCGTTTTTTAAAGTTAAATAACTATTGGAAACCAGGCACTAGCCAGTTAACTCACCGAAGGTCTTGGAGGTCAGTGGTTTCTTTAGTTGGGTTATGGATGCTCACTGTTGAGAAGTCCCATGATAATAGCACAAAACAGCTATTTAGTGCTTTTCCGGTTTCTATTAGCTGCCTAATTAAAGTTCGTTAGTAATATGAATTATTTGGAGTTATCAATATAGGTGCTCATAGTAACTGTTGAATTTCGTCGTTAATATAACGAAGTGGCCTTAGACAACCACAAAAAATAGAACAGAGCTGAACAACTGTTTCGTCCTAAAATGTGATTTTTCCTGTATTGCACATCCACGACACAAATGGGGGTCACTTCCATAGTCTTCAGGTTTCACAGCCAGAACTTAACCTTTGGACGAACGCGTTGGAAATTCATAGTTGATATATCTAACTTCAGTTCATTCGTTATACTGTGAAATCAATTTTACTTATGAACGAATTATATTAGTTCACTTGCTGCTAATTGATTTATACTTATTTGTATATCACTAGGCACAAAAATGTATAATCTACAGATTTCGTTGTTATCTGTTACCTTTGTTTTCCTAATTTCTGGTTAGATATCCAAATTGGTTTTATGCATATCTAGTTCAAAGCGATTGTTCAGTACTCCTAAGTTTCAGTTGGTTGTTTATTTAAGGCCAGTCCATAACGTAAAATGTTTCAAAGTAAGTTTGATCTTGCTTTCTTTGATATTAGTTGGATGTCGGCGGAACAGAAACCTGATCAAAGCATGCTTCAGTAAAGATCGCGCTGGAGCAAGCTAAACGGTTCATTTTCAACTAGTTAGCGCTAGTGGATGAACTGAGAAGACTCTAGAATATTTATGTGCCGGGTTTGTCTGTACATTGACATTTTCTTACGATTTCAATTAACCTAAACCTGCTGTTTTACTTTCGTCGGAGAGTTCAAAAATGATGATCATCAAAGTCCCCAGAATCCCAGAAAAATCTAGAAAATGTTTATCTGATCAGCAATGAATAGAAGCGTCTCCAAAATATCCAGAAATTGACGGGTCATGTGCCACATTTTTGATTAGGTAAATACCTATGCCGTCACTATTTTTCTTATGTTCCCAAAAAGCCTTAGAAGAGCAAGGTCACACAGAACTCCATAAATACTCTCGATTTTCTGTACAAAACTAAGTTTGGAATAAAGGTTCTACTAAGATTTCGAACCTTTTCACTATTATTTGAGTTGAAGTGTAGAAGTAGTCTGAGGCTGTAGAAAACGTCTAGAAAGTCAGGATTAAGCATTCCAGTATCAGACTTAGCGGTTTGGAATATATTTACGTTTTGTTCAAGTTGTATTTTGATTCGATTAGTCGAGTAAAGTGAAGTATCCGACAATACTATGCCGAAGAAGAGTTAACATTAGTGTATCACTGGAAACTTGAGAGTAGTGAACAACTCCTGTGTCCCAGATATCTACGAAGATGATTTATATTTGTGCATTCACGCACAAAATCGAAAAAAGGTGTCGTGTGGGAAAAATGTCCAGAGTGTAAATCTCCATATACCAAGATATATATATATATATATATATATATATATATATATATATATATATATACGGATTAGGACTGAATAGAAGAAGCCTACGTTACAACAATATTCAAACAAAAAGTATCCAAATGGTCATTTCTCAACATACCAGCTTAGCTACGAAATTTACCTATTTGTTAAAAGGATTTTGATTTAATCTAAATTTCTGTATAGTTTGATTGTTCTGATGGGTCTTGTTATTAGTTTATCTGTGTTATTATTATTTAAAGTATTGTATTATGAAAAAAGAATGAAAGCGAAGTGTTGGTCGTGACAATTGAAACAAGTGACTCCCACATTATTGACTCTGTAATGCTTCCAAGTCACTTATAGGACCTTACAACGACTCCAAATTTACAATTATATTCTTTAAAATTTAGATTATTACAGGAAGATTTTATCATCAAAAAACTAATTTATCACGAACTAAATTGTAAAAAAATCAAACTGTGTCCAATATTTCTTATTAATTAAGTGATTCTACCACCCAAGTTGTTGTAAAATTTGGGTGATTGATGTCTCATCAATACCCATTTGCAAGATGATAACAGTAAGAAAATAATAAGCTTCAGAAACGACAAGGGGACATTAAATTTATAAGTTTTTACTAAACAAATTAAAGTGGTAGACACAAAAAAGAAGAATGAACCCGAAATTGATGTTAAGTAAATTTATTCAAGCACATGAACATTGGCACAAGGAGGCACCGAATATATGTGCGCCACATTTCGTCATTTAGTTTGTGTGAGGGCTGGAATACTGACCGGGTGTCCAAACCAAAGGTGGTTTTCTTGGGGGGCCACACATCGAGCCTTTGGTTTGGAGGTCTAATCCACAAGGCAGTTTAGCAACGTTAGGAGATGCAGCTTCATGGCAGCTGTTGACCAACAATAGGTTCATACGACATTTTTTCCTTATGATCCTGAAACCCATGTACAGCATTGGTTCGGAATCAGGGTTTTCTGACTCTCATAGTTGGATCCTCCATCTCCACTAACCGGCCAACTCTCTTTTCATCCTCTCAATTTCACACAAAAACACACCTGCTATGAGAAGACATTAAGTAGGACTTCCCTGGTAGTGACCGTGTACGCGTGACTGTATGAGAGTATTTCGAGCAGGAGAGCTGACTCTCCTCACGCTCGGCCGTATCAGGGCACTTAAAATAACATCAACAAGATTGTTTTTATGTACAGTTAGATTAAGAAACGTTATTCAAAAACAATATCCCGTTATTATGAAAATGGGTAGGATTCATGATGCTTTCATAAAACTGCAGGTCTATAGCCCTTGTCAAGCGGTTCTCATTCACTGTCATCAAGAGGTGAGGGTTTCCGAGTAAAATTGTTAAGAGTACATTTCACTGAAGGCTGATGTAATTTTTTATGGATTTTTATATCAAAATTCATAAATCGGTATTTTTCTTAATTCCTATTAGAATAAATCATTAGAAATCATACGTAGTAAACAGGAAAGTTTGTTAGGTAGGCCAATTTATCTACAAAAACAGATAATTAATCAAAATCTAGAAACTTATCAGCTCTCAAATTACAAACGTAGCTATTGTTTAAACAAATGTAACACTAGAAATAACAAGTTAATATGATTAGTCCAGTTAACAATTATTTAACTTTGTAGAGTATATATTGACTTATGAATTGTTTGTTGACAAATGTTGACCTTGATTCACCATTACAAACGTTTTTAGTATACATCATTAATCATTATTAAATAAGATAATAAGTTATGTTGTAGTGATTAAACAATTTTGACGACAAAGTCATTGAAATCAAACTATAATTTTAGGAAATGATAAAAAAATGGTGAGAATATTCAAAACTAACTTCTCGCATTGTATTATCCCAGAGTCTAGCGATAAATTCAAGTGTAATTGGTCCAGCTTTATAGGATAACTTGCCTAAATCACAAATAATTGGTACACATCGTATACGTCCATTATAACAACTCTAAAAATATAAGATGTTTAAAATTAACTAAAGTCTAAGAAAATAATAATAAAATGCAGGAAATGATCCAATCGCTGGCTGACAAAATAAGTTATTAACAAGCAAATGATTTATCTGAAGAAAGTGAGTGAACGTACTGTTGCTAAGGCGAAGGACTAGGTAGAGATTACAAATCAAAAATTATTTGATGTAAGTGAATCATGACCAGTATTCATTGGATCAACAGACTTTAAAAATGGAAATAAAACTTATTTCTTAAAATGCTCAGTAGTTGTAATAATTCAGCAGGAAAACCTACTTAGCCAGATGCGACTGACTTCCTGTAGAATTACGATGTTTTGATGTTCTATGATGTTCAGCCGCTTAATCTGGAGGATTGTAATAAAACTAGGAGTTTAGAACTAACAATTCAACAATACAACATTAGCCACCATTCTGTGAACGAATAATGTAATTCTTAAGAACAGTAAACAATCTACAACTATGTTCACATAGATCAATACTTACAATTGTAGTCATTTTTCGATCAACTAATTTCTTTGAATCTGCTAAACGATCAGGAACTGGTTCCAAGATCATTTTGTCTGATAGTGGGGGATACGGAGAAGGGTTGTTTGAAGGGATATTAATTGACGCAGTTCGTACTGGTACACCATCATTTGATTTTCTTAATCTAGAAAATATCTTCGAAAGAAAACTATAACATTAGGATAGATCATCTCATACAACTCATATGTCCAATAAATACGATAATTATGATGTTAGCCTCTATGAACCACTTTCTGAAGAACAGACGGTGAATAATTCTTGTGTGAAGGATATTAAACTCCTGAGGGATCATATGTGACTAAATTTATACGATCCCAATAAGTGGCTATTGAACCATGACAAAGCCTTTAAGTGTCCAGCAGTAAATATTCGTAAATTCCTGGTACATTATATTATCATCACATAAGATTATTTTTATCACTTGCTTGACTTAACCTCTACTGATTCTACTTTGTTCTTAAAATCCAAAATGGTCGGTTAGGTAGGTTTGCAGTGATAGACTGTCAAACGACGAGGTATATGAAAAATCTGATTACTGAGGACTTACAGAGATGATTTTCACTGGACAAATGAAGATAAGGCAAATGTTTTTCCACAAATAAATAGAATAAGATTGATATACCCTGAATAAAATGGAGTTTCTCGATCTCGGTTTGGGTATTTTTTGACAGTTCATTATTAGTAATGCAGTATACTAAGATATAAGACGTTGTTTGATTATTGACTATAACGAATAAAGTATGTTGGGATAATAGAGTCACTGCATTTTGATCGCGTGTAATGTAACTTAGGAATCTCACAGAAGTGCCATTAAAAGTAGGTATTTATGTAAAATGATACATTAAATATAACTTCAAACAATAGTTACGTCAATGATGATTACGATAATGCAACAAATTCCTGATTAACAACATCGTATTGGTTTATGCATGAAGTTATGAGCTACACTTATTGCTTGAGGACTAAGAATAATTTTCGAATTCCTAGATCAAAATGAACGTAAAACTGGGATCCGTCAGTTAGTAATCGGTCATATAAATCTGTTCTCAAAACTTCGTGGAAGACAGGGAGCAGGGATTACTGAGTCATATCTTCAGAATAAATTTATGACTAATAACTTATAACAGTACAAAATACAGGATGTTTCAGTTCTACTATAGCTTGTTTTTTTACCAACCAGTGGCATCAAAATTGCTTCATCTAAATGATGTGTTTTAAAAAAAGAGGTTAGTTAGTCAGTTACTTTTGCAGTAGCGTGTGATGCTTTTCTAAAGAAGTTATCATCCGCTTTTTAGTTTTCTAACATGCGATTTACTATTTACTTTTCCCTATCTAATGTAATTTCGAATTATATTTTATCTCACTTATTTATCATTTGAATCAAGGTAAAAAGTTAAACGATTAGGTTATCATCCATTCATAAATGTGAGTTATTTATATACACTCAAAAATATCCACTTTTTCTTGTTTCAGAAGCATATTTCTTTATTTTCGATTTCATTGCTTTACTTTGAAGAAAACGTGATTGATATCTTAAAATACTGTATGATAAACAGCAGTACAGAGATTAATTGAAAGCAGCGTGATACGATGAGCGAATCAGACATATTGTCTTAAGACCACATGGTAAGTGAGAAATGCTAACATGTGCGCTTTATTGGCCAAGATCTGAGTCAACTTTCTGAGGAAGCAGATACATCTTGTTGGCTGAATCTCTGTGTTAATTTTCTGAGGGAAACGGATACGTATTTAAAAACGAGTTGTGCATAGATCTTCGATTTGGGGCTTTGAATTAATGGTTCCTACTTCTTGGTTTTTTCATTCAAGTACCCGGATAGGATTGTGTATAAGTAGCTTGTATATCCGTAGCAAAATCGGACATACCTCAGAACACAAAACAACAGTCATTTATATTAACACAAAAATGATAGGAACCACTGAAAAGAACTCACTCGGAAATTATGTGGATTAACAACTTTCTGTAATGCCTTAGAATCACAAACAACACTAGTTTCATTGTCTACTGTCTGACCAGGAATTGGAAGCGCATGTTGAATTACATAAGGATTTTCAAGCAAGTAGAGAAGATATTTTCCATGTGGTTCATTGATGAGCCCAGCGAATTCAAAAGGCCAATCGATGATCAGACGTGATGCTGGTATTAAACTATGTTTACGTAAATTTCGTACCTTTTTTCGCAACACAATAACAAGAACAGTAAGAAACAGCACAATACTTATATATAAAAATAGCTTTAGAAAGACAGTCTAAAACAGCTACTTGATACCGTTTCTCTGATTCGCCAGTAAATAACACTTCTGTATGAGAACAGTTCTAAAATTAAACTAGAAATAACTATTTTGTTTGAAATCAATGGTTTGAAAATTGAGATTTTTGATGGAAGACTTGTTCACTGTCATTTACATTAACTAGTGACGTGTTGCAGAGTTATCAATAATTTATAGTATGAACGCTTTTCGGATGAAATGAATACACAGTCTGTAGTCAAATTAGACTGTTATTTGACTTTTAGTTGGCTAATAACTCTTGTTATTTCTCTCTTCCTGACTAAGAACCCTAGTCATTATAGGGAGAAGTATAGGTGATAAAAAAGAACAAAAACGATAACAAACTATTTTAGTCATAAAGTTATGTTCATTTCCCATATCTGAGATGAATAGTATGTAGATCTAAATTTTAATAACATAATGATAAGATATTGGATAGTCTTACAATGAAAGTTGTTGATTAGAATGATGAGCGCTTAAGGTTCAGAGTAAACAATATTTTGTAATTTTATTTGTAAATATTTATAATAATAATGCTGAGTTCATATCTCAATATATGTCATAAGTCCTAACGATTGGAGAGTTCATTGTAGCAAAAAATTATTCATTTAGATCGACGATGCATTATACTTACATACATGGGGGGATAGTAGCTCAGTTAGATATGTAGATATTTATGCTTACTCAAGCTGATGAACTATACCGGGTTTTTAAAACAGTATGACAATTATAAGCAAAGATGGATAGTGGCTAGCAGTGGAATCCAGGACTCGCGTTTTGTCACATTTGGGACTCGTCAACTGGATGAACCTTCATATCACAGTTGATGTTCACTTTCATTTCTTTGCTGAGAGCTTGGGAATTCATCAAGAAAATGAATAAAGAAATTATAATTGCAAAAGGAAGACTCAGTGCGGTAAGAAAACATTTGGAAATTGAGATGAATTGTAACCATGAGGATTATAGAAACAGGAACAAGTCAATTGAGGGTTAAAGTTCTTTCGAGAAGAAGAGAGAAGGGAAACAGATGGAAATGAAAAGAAAACAATAAGAGAGATTGAGATCATGGTAGAAGATGCTATACAAGTTTCTTTTGTACACAATTGCCATGTTTGTTAAAGTTTTATTATCATTTTGGAAGCTAAGTATATATTTGCTGTTGTATAGTTTTGAAAATAAATTTACCCAAAAAGGAGAACTTTTCACTGGACTAATCTTTTTTATTTTATGATAAATTCTAAAAACCTTATCGACTGAAAACTTTCATTCATATTCTATAAATATAATTTCAAATTACAATCGATGGAGATTAAATATGGCGGACAATTTTCTGTCTAGATTGTTTTTGTTTTTTCTACATTTCTTTCAGAATTTTATGTCAAGAAAAACGTCTAGATAAACTAAGACCTAGTAAGTCAATGATGTCATTCTGTTTACAGTTCATTGTACTGTTTGTTACTCAAGAGTGAACTAAAAACGTTTGCAATGCTTATAGTTACTTATTTTACTTATTCTGATAACACTCTTAATATTATTTGATTTGGCATTGGAAGTAACACGTTCAAATAGTTCATTGTAACACAAAATCATAATGAATGTTTTAAACTTGAATTAATATATTGAATATGACATTAGTTATGTTACATGAGACTGATCAATTGCAGTCCTAAATAACAATGGGAAGATACAAGTAAAACAACACTAAGTGAATTAGTTATGTTAGTCCTAATAACTTGACTTAAGTTTTAGTTAAAGTATACAGTTTTTTTATAATTAACAACAGACGCATAAATTAAACTATATTCAAACAAAATTACTTTTCAGTATGTTTGTGATTCAAAAGAAAGTGGGATAGTTTTAGTGTTTCAATGTGTATTGTCTAATACACTTTTTTATTTTGTCAATCAATCAATAAAGTAAGGATTAATTTTCGTTTCATAAAAGAACAATATATTTATAAAGACAATCAAAGATTGTGAATTTAGAGGTTCGAGAATATGGATAGAAATGAGAAAGTGTTTGATAAGGCTGTAAATCACTATCAACTGAGGTAGATGGGAGATGTGGTATAGGTTTCAAAGACTCTTACACAAATAATAATAACAGAGATTGTAATAAAATATTGCCAAGGTGAATGTTAATGTATGCTATATGAAGGTAAATTTAAAGTAAAAAAACATTATTACTTACAGTAAATTTTCCAACAATTCTAACATCACCAATTTGATTTTCTGCTGACATTGAACTAATCCCGTCACTAACATTTCCACTAAAGTAAATTGTATTCGGTTCAGTTGTTCTGCAATGAAACCAACACAAAATTTTTAGTTTTTTCTATGTTGCATTAAAACTCATGAGGTTAATAACCATGCTGTACTTTTATGCAAATATATAGACAGCAAAACTATATTTAAGTGCTCTAATAACATCACTATCAGTTGATTTAAGCTTATTTAACTTTTACCTAAGTAAACAGATTGGAACATTACATGTTAAGCCGTATATGAAAGGTTACAGTTAATTGCATAAATTTGAATTTTGAATAAAATCATATTTAAATAGGTTATTTATGTAGATTCGATCAGTTTGAAACATTTCATTACGAACGTACATCGGTCTAAAAACTATTAGAAAGAAAAGAGCACTGATTTAAGACTTTTTAATATCTGATATTTATCCATGATGAAAACCATTTGTGAAGTTAATATATCAATTTTATTTTGCTTATCTATAATCATCAGAAGGGGTTTCGTGGAGATGTTAGAAATTTCACTGGTTGAAATCATGAGTCAACTGAAGCTAGGTATCGTGGATGCGCACTTCTGAGGAGTCCCAGACTAGGACGAAACGACCATCCAGGGCTTCCAGGTTTTTCATGGTGGTCTAGCTTCAATTGACTCATGATTTCAACCAGTGAAGTTTCTAAAATCTCCACAAAACCCCTTCTGATAATAATCATCTGCTCACTAGTGACTGACTTCAAGAAATACTCCTGGAGTTCTAGTGAGAAGCCGTTACCAGTGGAGTTCAACCAAGTCTGTTGTGAGATATCAACTCACTGAAGGCAATGGTGTACGGTGGCGCGACTTCGTGGATCATCTATAATCAGTTAGAAGTTTACTAGGGAAAATATTATAGAAATTCATACCTATTTATTAAGTCTGCATAATTGTTTACATTTACAGACAATAAGTACAATTGTGTTAATTTTCATCAATTTTAATACAAAATCCTATGTGTCATATGTTAAAGATGGAGACTGACAAATAACAATGGAAAGAAAACATGATAATTGTGTAGGTATTGTTACTAAGGTTTAACTTGATAATTATGAATAAATTGAGTATCGGGTCGATTGTTATAAATAAATTAATATACTTGTAATATCCCAATGAGTAGAAAAATGAGATTTTCTGACGTTTCGTGACTTAATGTATGCCACTTCTTCAGAGAGTAAATAAACAAATCAAAATTAATCCAACTGTTATCATGATAATTGTATTTTATATTCCAGAAAGAATAAAGTTTTACTATTGTATAAACATTTATCATTTTTGTGAAAATATTTTAGAAGGAATTAAATAAAAATAACCTTAGAAATATATTACTTGAAGCCACTAGATAGAATGTTAAAATAATGCCTGGAGATATTGATATTTATTTATTGTGATAGTTTGATCTTTCCCATTACCAGATAATCTAAATAGAAATGACCAGCTTTGCCACTATATTAACCTCTTGAACAAAGGTGTAATAATGTTGCTTGCATTGACATGTCGACTATGTTTGGATAGTGACCAGATGTATAAGCCAGAAAGTACGTATCATAATATTTTGGAAATGAGATGAATGAAACACTTATTTAATTGTATATAACTTTCCATCTTTTAAAAATAAATTTACTGAAATTTCGAGGACTAAGTTGAACCCTCTGATGATTATAACTAGGTGACACATCATTTTAAGATCCAGTCACTGTTGTTTTTGATAGTTCTCAGCCAGTTATTTCATGTTATTTGGTATTCGGTTTACAAAACTAAACTAACTACTTAGTTGGTGATTTCATTTTCAAATATGTAGAACTAGTTACTCAATATTAATGTAATATTGATTTAGTTGTTGAGACCTGATGATGATTAATTTATTCAATTATTTAAAACAATTAGACCCTTTGATAAATTTCGATAATGCAATGAGAAGACGTATTGCGCAAATATATCACATAATTCTGATAAACTACTTCTTCTCATTGCATTATCGAAATTTATTCAATTATCTTCTTTTCTACAATAACTTTGAATATAATACTACTACACAAGTAGTAAATCATATTTTTCAAAATTTTATAATAAATCCGAAAAACAAAAAAAATAGAAATAAACAATTCAGTCAAATGTTACATTTGACAACTTTTTCTGCTACATACAATTCTGATTCATAAATAATATTGAATGTCTACTGAAAACTTTGTTACAATTTAATTAAAGAGTTTTGTAGAGATTAATGGAGATCTAATTAGAGACACTGATTTACGACAGAGAATCAAACTATAAAGTTAGAAAAAAAAGAGTTTAATCATATCTACACCTACATATTACTTAGGTTTAAATAACAAAGTTGTTGTTGTTTTGTTTAATTATTAAAAAATGAAATGACTACGTATTTAAAGCGTTTTCAGCTGTAGATAATATTGGTTAACATCAGTTTGACAGAAGATTAAAAATGTCACTAAGATAATAGTAGTAGAAGTCATTTTAATAAAAACTAAGAATGAAATAATTATTTGTAAACAAAATTGATTGTAAAAAACAGTTTCACCTCTAACTTAACGTAGAATAAAGTTTAGTAGGTATGGAATTAGTCCGGTAGAAAATCTTGGACATAAGTTTTCTTCTAGTTGACATAAGTCAGTAAGATGTACATGTAATCCTGAGGGTATAATGCTCGCTCAGCTTCATCAACATAAACCACATTACAATTTTATTAAAAGAATTCAATGAGCACAAAATGACTTGAAAAGTATGATAGTGATTTCTAGTCAACGATCAATCAGTTGTAAAACAGAAAATGTTTTATTTTTATAGCCAATATTACATGACGGATTAATTCATGGTCTTCATGAAGAATTAGGATAAACTATCGGGCGCTATGTCTAAGATTAAGACTTATTAATGTGATAAGCATCCTTGATTTTACATATACTGGCTACATGTCTTGCTATATTCAAATTTGATACCCTTGTAATATCGAAAATATGTACTACATTACAAATTAAGATAAAAACACTAATCATGGTTGTTTGAGTTTTCGGTGATTCCACAGTAGATAATAATAGAATAATATCAAAAAAGAGGAAAATTCAGTATTTTTTGATTTGTTAAGTGAAACCTATAAACATCTTTGAAGTTGACTTGTAAACTTGTTTGAACAACATAGTAGTACGTGAATAATGAACAGTTAAGTCACAATCAATCCTATTCATTAAAGTCTCAATAAGAGTAAAGATTGAATTTTAATAAGTTGAAGTGCTTGTCTCAAACTAGAGTCTCTGATATCTAAGTTATAAGACAAAACTAACTATTCATAACTATCAATTTATATAATTTTGATTGGAAAATTAAATAAGATCATTATTTTCATTTATGTATTTTTCTAGATATCTCATTCTAGACATTTATTATGTTCATGATGAAGCTACCTAGTCCTACTGATGAAACATTCACTAGAGAAATAATGAAAAGAAAATCAGAAATTTGTTATTTTCACTAGTACGCTAAAAATCTTGTTATTGGTAACAATAATGACATTAATCACAACTTACCCAAATACTGAAACATTGACAATCATTTTAATATTTACTTGTAATTCATTAGTTAATTGTCCTTCAACTTGTATGGGATTATTAGAACTTCTAAAAGTTGGAAAAGTGAAAAAAAATACGTGCAACCAACTTAAAGTGTGACTAATCATTCTATGCATTAGTCCTATTTATATTGTGAGAACAATTTTTGTTATTTTAATATAATTGAAAGCCACGAAGTACTGAAAATCTGTTCCATCCAACTATGCAGTTGCCAAACAGTACGTATCGCAGACTATTCCTGAGGTTGGTCCCAGAACTGTCAGTTGTCATGGAGAATATACTACTTCTAAACCTCTGATTTTGAATTCAATGATCCTGTTGCATATCAATAATATTGAACAAGTCTGGACTATGAGGATGCAACTCAATAATCTAAAAGTAACGTGGTCTTTTGATGTCTGTGTTTTATAGCTGATGATCCTTGTGCACCACAGTGAAAAAATAACAGCAAAATGCTTTATGGTTTTCAGTGTTGCTTTAAACGATGTGACGAAAGCCATTTGTGGATTATACTTATGATGAGAGCAGATGACAAACTCACACATATAGCTTTGAATGCATTCATTTAGAAATAACATAATTTATTATCGCATTAAAAGTGAAATTAAAGCCAATATAATATATTGAAGTATGATATTCTGAATAATTATGTTTATGTGTGTAGAATTTATTATCTAGATATGTAATTATATAAAGAAATACTATAAAATTTAGTGAAACAAACGATTTTCACTATTTATTTGAATACTTTTCAGTAATTTACTATCATTTATTCGCTTTAAAATTGAGATATGTACACTTAAAACTTTATCCGGTGTGTGGGGTTGAAGTGGGAATAAAAACCTAAAACGATTAAACAGATGTTTCACTGTATTTCAAAAGTATCAAAAAGTGAGGAACATACTATACCGAAATAATTTTAAGTTTCATAATATGTACTATATCAACCAGCTAAAATAGGACTTATTTATATTTTACATATTCAGTAAATTAATGATTTATTGAGACTATCACTCATCATCATCAATGGGGATCTATTACCAATATTCGACTTGATTGACCAAACACATTTCATTCACCTTGCAGCAAGTCACCAATGCCCACTCAATGATACCAGATGTTAAGCGATTCTTGGTTTTTCAAAATATTCTTCATCTAATGAAGATTATCTTCATATCTAGTCTATACCAGTGATATGAAAGGTTTAAATCTGAAAAGCAGAACATATTAACTTTATATGGTATCAGTGGGAGACTACCAAACTAGTAAATAAGTTAAAATTCATGGTATTTACCATGGGGGTTATAAAAAATACCCCTTATTCATGTGTGCATATTTACAGTAAACAAATGACACCGACTAGAATAGAAATAAAAAAAGACTCATTAAATATAGCAAGATATTTTAAAAAAATGAACAAGCAAATGACTTACATTAATACAGTACTATTTACATGAAATTTAGCCATTTGTACAGTTAACTGATGTCCGATTACAAGCCATCGTATCATACATTCACTTGATTCACCAGAAGCCAATGGATATTGAAGATGACAGATTGCTGTATCCGGTTGAATTAAACTGGCTTCTTTAAGCTAAATTGAAAGAAACAAATCATTGGTTATACAGTAATTCTAAAAAAAATGACTGATTAAAACAAATAAATAAACACAGAAAAATTAAACTAAACAGTGTTTTTCATGTATTTATAGACAATAATTAAAAGATGACCAAGAAGAAAACTAATCAAAACTAGACGTGGATAAAAATTCAATTTTTGTGATTTTTGCCGTTTCTCACATACCCTACAATTTAATTGTTGTAGAGTGATTTCTTCCTGTTTACTCGTTACAGTCATCCTTGAGATGATATTTCCTAACTGCATAGCAGGGAGCAGGTTGTAACATAAACCATCAACGAAAAAAGGTCATGTGAACACTGTATTGTTATCAATAGTTAAACCAATACATTTCTAGACGGTGTTATACTACTTTTACATTTGAAATCTAGTTGTTGTTATTGTCTCTTGGATTCATCAAATGGAACAAAATGACAGCCAAATATGAAGCATTTTGTTTATAATATATTCTGTTTAAACGTTTGTTAATAAAATAAATGAAAATATCAATAGGAGAAGAATGGTAAAAACGAGACTGATCAATCGCAGTTCTCAACACCAATGGGAAGATTCAAACAAACAATACAAATAAATTAAAAATGATTTAATGCGGATAAAAAAAGCAGAATAAAGAGAAAAAACGAATTGCACGTGGATTACTAAAATGATGGTAACTCAATTTCGGGGATTGGTTGAAGTTAGACATTAATACCGTTGGATGCCGGCCGGCTCAGTGATCTAAAGGTTAAGCATTCTCGCACGAGACTGATAGGTCATGGGTTCGAACCTTGCGGGGCGGGATCGTGGATGCTCACTACTGAAGAGTCCCATACTAGGATGAAACGGCCGTCCAGTGTTTCCAGGTTTTCAATGATCGTCTAGCTTCAATTGACTCAAGAATTCAACCATGATTTATTAGTTTGAATAATCCATGTATTGTGTCATGTGGTGGCAGTATTACATGGGAATATGAAAGACTAAAAACGGAATTCGTATTTAAACCAGACTGATAGATACGAAAAAAAACTATGTGAGATTCCATGTAAGAGTTGAGAAAACTCGATATTTATATCAATTCATTTACTAGATCTATAAGAAGTGCTCAAGAGTAAGATCACTGATTAAAACAATATGATCATTAATGGGTTTAACATTTACTTGGATTTTCACATATTTATTTATGAATTATTTCAGTATGTTTTTCTATTGTATTCTGATGAATATTCACTCAGTTTTGATTCTTGTTTAGTATAAAATTCGTTTTTCATTACAATAATTTAGATGACATTATCCACTGAAAAGGAGACCTGGATATAAAACATGGCATTTTCCTCAGTTTCAGATCACAATGTAGGGCCGAGCTAACTGCTTTAAGGGGTATAATAAAGGGTGATTGCTTTCTGTTTACTGATTACAGTCATCCTTGAGATGATATTTTCTAACTGTGTAGCAAGGAGCAGGTTATAACAAGGATCATGAATGAAAAAAAGGCCATGTGATCATTTTATCGTTAAACCAATAAGTTAAACCAATACATTTCTAGAAGGTGTTGTGTTACTTTAATAATTGAAATTTTAAATCAAAAGCATGAATTAAACTCTTATGGTCACCAAATCTCTTATTTAAGTGTATGCATAATATTTCACCACTATTAAAATTTTCCACAATCTGAAATAAAGAGTTGATATGTATATGATATATCAATTTATACCTTAACCGTACAATTCCTTCAAGCATAATATTGCTCACAAAATCGCTCGTTTCCTTTAAAAGACTCAACCCATATAAATCATTTTTTAAAATTTTTATCTCCAATCTTATCTCCCAACTGATTTATCGGATGTGATATTTTTCAATCTACAGAGGGGTCTATGGACAGTACTTATATTAAAATACTCTGAATTCCAAAAAATTATATACAGAACACTAGTGAAATAATGTATCAGTCCAAATCGTATATTTCATGATAGATATTTATAGATGTATAATTTTCTAGTGATTCTAACCCTTGTCAATTGGATATAATCTACTATTCGAGTTAATCAGAAACTATAAATCAAAGAAAAAGTGTGGAACATTTTTGCTTGATATTATCATTTGCATTTTATTGAAAATGATCCAGTTTCGAGTAAATTTTTCTGGTACATTCGTCTAACCCGTTATTAATGAAGTCACTATTGGAAATAATCATAAAATTCTTTTTTTGGATACGCTTTTAGTATCCATCTATTATCATTTCGGTTAATAAAATATCACTTTTCTTGTGTATAGAAAATACTATGAAACAAAATCGATATTGTAATTAACACCTAAATTGATTGAATTAACTTTGAATCACAAATACATCTATAGAGTAGGTGTTAAATAAGTATAGGAAACGAAACACAACGACAAAACAACTGAGATATATTTTGATAGAGTTTTGTTCTATCTAAAGTTTGTGTGGATGATGTCGCTCAGAAAAATGATGAAAGCTTCACGACTAAACCTTTCGGCTCAGAGAACAAAACTCTATCAAAATCATTTACCTGAGCTACAAATCTTCTCCACCATTTCAACTGAGATATATCTTACGATTAAACATCGTTTTTGTAAGGTTTTGAACAGAATTGTTTTGGTTTTCTGTGTGTGTCTTCAATATTACGCAGAAGTCATGACTTTAGGAAGGATCAGATTATCATGCTTTAGTTGAAACTTAACAATACATTACTTTATTGATCTTTCAGTGGTAATTACGTGTTAGAACACTTAATTTTTTAGTAAAATCAACAGTACAACTTACAGTTGAATCAAGTTCCAATAAATTTGGTAGAAAATTACTGACTAATCCAGTAGCATAAACTAAATCATTGCCAATATTTGTTACACGAACGGATAATTCAATTGTTTGATTATTATCATCACCCACATAAACAACAGGTCCATTTTTATCTCTAGAATAGCATGAGAAAGTTGAGAAAGAGAAGAGATTATTGCTAAGAATTATTTGAGAATGGCAAATGATAGGTTCGCTTATACACGGATTATTAAATTGTGTAAAGTTTATAATCTGGTTGAAAATACATTTAGTTTCAGATATCCTTTGAAGTATTTACTACGAGAAGTATTGGTCTATTTCATATCTGTTTACTAGACTTGTTGATTTCAGTACTGAAAGTAAAGTCACATTGGTTTACAAACTGGATTTCGCACAACTAGATTAGTTTTCGTAAACTTTAGCTCAGATACATTATATCGAGTTGATTCTTAAAAGTAGACACTATTCATATTTTCCTATATAAGCGCGCACATAAAATGAAAAATATTCATCGATTAGCAACAAACAACTATTATCATATTCGTAAAAAGTTGTCCACAAATATTACTATGATTTATTCGGGTGTATTCACCAGTACTGTGATCTCTTATACAGCGAAATCAAAAAAAGGGTCCGGCACCTATAAATGATTACCTTCTAGAATACATGGGATTTCTGGACCTTTCTGACTTTAAACTATAAATGTTTAAATTCACTTGGTGTTTGTTCTACTTGTAATTAACCTTTGATTGTATCAATTTGCTTCCAACGTTCAACTGACCGATAGTAATTACAACAGTGAAAATATTAAAATTTTTCATTCAACTAGATATATCACTTTAAGAGTGAATGAACATTTAGATGTCACATCAATAAGGCTTGACATATGTTAGTAAAAATATAGTATTGTTAAGTTTTTAGTGTTGGATAAATTCTATTGGTCAAGTTGCATTATAGCTAACAGATATTTAACGTGGTGAAACGCTTCATCTATTATTAGTTATTGATATCATTCAATATTGGAAGATGCGATTTCGAATCTTACATAGAACATCGGTTCCGATGAGAAAGCTGGTACACTTTGTGAACAGGTGCTAATTAGTGGAAAATTTACATCCAGGGCCTTGTGTTGACTGCATTCATCCAGTTCTTATTGTCGAAAAGTTGTTGATTTCGAGCAATATTACGACTACGTCATGAAAACCAGAATTATATTCTATTATGTTATTCCAGTTGGAAAGCTAGCCAATAAGGTATTTATGTGTTGTATTAGTGTATATTAATAATACTAAGGACAACAAGTGACATCTCACATGATTCTCTGTGCATGTATATTCGCAAATAGAAGACTCTGTCTTGAGTCAATAAAAGTACGAGTAGGTTTATTTGTCACTCAAAATATTTTGAGTAGTTTGATGAAAAGATTTCATTGATAATAATCATAAGACTTATTCGGTTAGATAGAACAGTCGATCATGTGATACATACTGGTTCCACTCTTTCTCCTACATACTAGATTGTGTATTTTTAATCAGAAAATCGTATAATTCATGATGATAATCGAATATTTAATAATAGAACAATCTGATATCTTACACATTATACTATTGTTTCAAATTAATCTATCTGTTAGATGTTGAATCAATGAAGGATGTAGTAAAAAAAATCTACTCTCAAATAATGATCTATTTCTCTATTACTTCAATATGTAATTTAATTATGATATTTACGGTAATTTCAATTGAACACATTTGTTACTTCTAATACAAAAATTTATTTCTTGTTCAATTCATGTAATTTAAGTTAAAGTTTCATTATGAACAAGAACTAGAAAATTTAGTTCTTTTTTTCTCTCATAAATCAAATATTGATATTAATTAACACGTTTCATCTTTAAAATGGTTACTAAGTTGTTTCAATTAAAATTAAACCAAAGAATAATTCACATCATTTTTAAAATTAAATAAAATTGAAAATATGAATGATTTTAAGAAGGAGTATAATCATTACAAAGATTGCAGTTATCATGTTCCATTAAATAAACATTTATTAATATTAACTATTGTTGAATAGTTCTAGAATAAGTTGAAACGATGACTTGACAGTTATTAAAACGTAAAAGCTGATTGATATGAGTATGAGACAAAAAAGCTATCACCAGCATGTGAATAAAATGCTTTCATTTGTAGGTATTGATTTTCATTGAAATCATCCACAACCAGGTTGATGTTAGACATTGACACTGTTGGATGTTAACTCAGTGGTTTAGAGACTAAAACGTTTGAGCGCCAGAGCGAGGGTCCTGGATTTGAACCCAGCGTGCAGGGTCTTTGAGGAGTCTCATACTAGAGCGGAACAGCCATCCAGTCCTTTTAGGTTTTCAGTGATGGTCTAACATTGATCGATTTATGGTTTCAATGAAATTCACTAACATCCACAGCCCCAAAATAAAACTAGTAATTTATTTAGAAGTAAATTAATTATTCCAACCAAGAACAGATAGAAAGGATTCAACGTGGAAATTTCCACAGGTTTGACAACTCAAGAAGATTATTAGTAAAGGAAATAAATTTAAGTGAAGTCCTGGATTATTAAGAATGTCAAGAGGCCTTAGGTCGATTAAGAAGGATGTTGAGTTTACAGGCTGATGTTGACCGACATGATAACTACTCAGGTAGTAAATTATTTCGTTACCTCAATCTCTTTTCATTAGATTCACAATGAAAGTAGATTAATTTCACTCGATGTTTTCTTCTAGAGTGGATCGATTTTTTCCCGAGTGAAAGTGAATTACGAGGTGGAGATAAGAAAAAAAATAATTCGTCCAAGTTATAATGAAAATTTCATTCAGTGATGCTTCCAATAAACATATATAATGGAAAAAAAATGTCTTGACTATTTAAGGAAAACAATTCAGTAAGCTTCCATCATAAAATAAATACCAAGTTTTAACTGAGTTATGTTTATTTCAAAAAGAGAGTGAAATAAAGTTTGAAAACGTACATAATTTGCAAAATAAATACAAATATATCAATTACCTGGTTACTTTCACATTATAACTAACTCTTACGGTTGGGCAACATTGTCGAACTGCACAGGGATTATCAAAAGATATCTGACATTACAAATTAAAAAAGAATTTGAATTTATGAACTATATATATATATATATATATATATATCGTAATACTAAATTATTTGAAACAATTGTTATAGTATGACAGAGTATTTTGATATAATTAGTTGTCAGCGTTTGATTTATCCCATTGTTGATAGTAGAACCTGAATTTTGATGAGTTTTCATTAGTATATATGCATCTTGTGTGGTTTACCCTGACATGGCTCATTTTTTATCAGTGGGATAACTCAAACTATTACTACTAACATATGCATCAAACAAATTAGTGGCTATCAGAACTCAGTGGATAACGCGTTAGGAAAAATTATTATGCTTCAGTTCTAATGTATACATTAATATTAGGTTCTAGATACATTCAATTGACTAGCCTTACATACAACGAAACATGCACTCTGGATTTTAATGCATAGCCATGTACATTGTATCTTGATTTATAAAGTGATTGATTTATTTTTTACATAAATAGATTTTATAATAGCAACAGATGTTTTAAAATTAAATAATAAGCCTTATAGTCACGTCAACTTTTATCTCACACATATCTGTTAATGTAGAGAACCTCTATTAATTACTCGTTCTTCGGAATAATTGAAAGATATTAGTATGATTGTCGAGGATTGACTTAATAATAACAAAATGTTGAGTTACGGAGATTTTTAAAAACTACCGGTTGATCTCAACTGGAGGAGCATCGAAATTCGTGATAAATTGAGTATTTTTTTGGTCCTTGTTTGTGACTCCTTAGTAGTTCATATTCACCACCTCAAACATAATATACAATTCAGAACATTTATGTCCCGCGACATCTAAACCACTTAAACTATGGATTTAAATGTCAATTTAGCTTTCGATAGCTCCACAGTTGATTTCATTCTGAAATGGGAACCATAATTAAGTGACAAATTGATTTGTGTAACTCCACCAAATTATACCTAAGTACTGTGTTGTATAAATTGATTATTAAAAGAAAAGATGAAGCATTGCATAGTTCAACAAATAAGTTTGTAGAAAAGCTGAGGACTACTAAATACTAGAATGATTTAATTTCGTATTTAAGAAAAATGTTCTAAAAAGCAAATATAAACATGTTATAAAACTAAAATTAACTTAGAGGTGTTCTGTTGTTAGCAGTATATGTTCAAACTAATAATCATTAGATATCAGCTTATTTGAATTGTAACTATGATAGCTATGGGGCTTCGTATTTTAGTCTTTAAACAAATATAGTTCGGAATAAAATGTTATTTTACTGTTCAGTTTATTCAGCATAACAGAAATCTGTATATAATAACGTTTAATTAAAAATGTGAACTTCCAATTAGATGCCAAAAGAGTGCATATTATCTTATCAATGTTAATGTTTTGTTTTTGTAATAACTATCAGGTTTGATGATATAAGCTTGAATCTCACAAGAACCTCCCGTTACCCTGAGATTGCAGTAATACCTTACTAACGAATCAGAATTGGCAAAAAACCTAGTTCTAAGGCATCTAATGGTTTGTTCTTAACTACTTAACAGGAATAAAAGAGTTTCTATCATTTTAGGAGTAAATATTTTTACCCATATTACCTAAATTCTACAAGATAGTGATATGGGATTATAAGCCAAGCAATTTATAAATGGTTGATCATTATTTCTTTATAATTACTGAACTGTAAATATAAGGGTATTTACATAATCGAACGTTATATCCTTATATATGTTTGGCTTATTCATAGTAAATAAACTACAATTGATTTTTAATTTTGATATACTTTGGTTTTTTATTACAATGAGATACTTTAATATTGTTGGGAGCCTTCATAATAAATATGTAAAGCTTGAAGTTCCTAGGCTCAATCTCATGTCTAGTTGTGTGTTCACTTTTAAAGAGTATTCTACTTGAATAAAATAAAAGTTCATCGTCTTATGTTTTTTTAACCGTTGTTTAGCTATTATTAGTTCAGGATATAAAACTCTAAAAGAAAACTAGCAAATTAAAAATTATTGGTGAACTAAGTATCCGTTAGTTCGTTTCAGTTAACGTTTGATCTAAATAACTAGGTGCTTGATTTATTGCATTTTCGAATAATCAGTCAATTAATTACACAGATGAAAGTTTGATATTTTTCAACACATTATCGCCCAATTGTTTTCTTTATTGAATAATGATTTCTACAGTTATATATATTATGTTTAAATTACGTAGAAATGTTTTAAAATTTTTTAGTTTTTTTACCTGAAGTAGTTCAGTATTTGCACGTGGATCAGCTACAGGATACTCGTCAATTTGATCAGCTAATGGATATGGTTCAGTCATTTTAGCAATCCATTTGACACCAATTTTTAAACGATCAGTTTGATCAATCAAATATGTATCCTAGACAGATAAAGAGTTAACGGAAACTATAAAATGGGTTACATATTTAAATGTATACAATACTTTATGACGGATGAACTTCTTATTGCATTGGGTTCTTAGTAGGTTTGAGGTTACATTCTTACTTAGTCTTTTTAGTGACCCCAACGAATTCTATGTAATTTGTATCCGATATATTTGAGTTAAATAGACAAATGGTAATAAATAAGGTAATCATGTTACGACGTCTAACCATTAAGTACATTGAATTCTATCATTATAATTTACTGACTAACTTATATAATTAGAGTCATTTTTTTCAGTAGAATCAAAATGAACTAAATCTTAGACATACTATCAAGAAAAGGTTTCTTTTTCGTTTTTTCCTTCTTCCACCTGACACTTCTCAATACTTTATTATGTTTATTAAAATCATAAATGTACCTTTGTTAAACACGGAAAGTATAACATAATTTCATGATGAAGACAAATGACGATTGACCATACAGTATAGTTAAAAAAAATTTTTTTCGTAAATAATTTCACATTGTAGACTTTTACACAGATTTTTCATGTAAATACTTAAGTTCAAGCTCCCTATAATTTCCCTTTATTTGATGAGCTATGAATTGTGAACAATGTCACAAACTTATTCAAATGCATTAGATGGAACATAAACAAATATGTGTATAACAAGCAGACAAGTTTTCATCAGGATAAACTTACTCGAAATATTATTCGTAATGTACTAGCTAAATTCAATTCATCTTGATTGAATGGTATATTCTCTTTTATTTTGTGTAGATCACGACAAAAAGCATTACCTTCTAATTGTAAATATCCACCAGGACTATCATAACCCGTCAGATAAGCAGATTCATTACGTTTAAAATAATCTTTAACAATCATTTCACTATTTGATAAACTTTTCTCTCGTATAAAGACAATTGGTGATAAAGTATAATTTTTATAAAATTCTTTCATAATATTTTTGGAAATTATAGTTGAATATTGATTATAGGTGCATTTACTTTCGTAATTTGGTGGATGATTTTGTGAAGTTTGATCCCAACCTTCTGAAATCCATTCATTGGTTGGATTGTATTTTAATAAAATTGATACTGGATACGTTATATGTGGACTACAAGATATACTATTTAAATAAAATGATAATAAACAATTATTTATTTGAATAACGTTTACAAAATTAGAGTGAAAATTAAATTTATAGTGAAATCGATGCATAGATTATGCGATGTAGTGCTTAATGGGAGACATTAAGACCTATATCTGAATTCATGTAGGGATGGTGAATTTACACTGGTTGGGAAACCTCATGCTGAGATGAAGTAACTATCCAGTCACATCATTTTTTGATGGTAATTACTCTAGAAATGTTTAAGAAAAAGAACTTTTGCTCAGAATGTCGAAAGAAATAGTGAGCTACAATTGAAATGAACATCTGTGTTTGAAGTTAGTAATCAGTGTAACATATGAAACATGTTTTTATATGCCAAAGGTGTAGCATTAACAAGCAAAGTGATTGGTTTTTAAATTGAATTATACAGGTAGATCCAAACTATGTAGCTGAAGTTGGCGAGATAACTGCGATTATTAATTAAAGGTATTATGTGACATGCTTTGGAACTACTACCAATGCCTCACCTATATCCACTCTAAACATATTTTCTTTCCAAAGTATATTCTTGATTGTTTATTGTTTACTATTACCACTGTTACTATTTCTAATAGGGCTACTTAGCTAAATAGCTAATTTTATTTCACTGTACTGACTCATATTTGTGCCAAACTTAATGTTGATTATGAATGACAGAGTGACTTTCTTGCATGCTCCCTAGTCATATCATGAATATTTAAGATTACTGTTTTAAATATGAACTGTATATTCTTAATTTCACTTTGAAGAAACGTTTCTTGGCTAATAAATTTCGCTTCACAATTTATTAAGACAACTGTCATTATCGATAGCGGAATCATTTCGAGAAACATATTCAGTCGATTTCAAAATGTTAGGCAAAACCTACTTCATAGGTACCTCAACAGAGGTAATAAGTCTCTGCTAGTGCTGTTTTTGGCACTCGTCAGCAAAATGTAACTGGCTACATAGAATGAGACATTACAATTGAGCTATTCGGGTCACAACTAACATTAGCCACTACTCAGTAACTAATTCATTATAAATTATCACTAACTGCATATATTATTTTCGATGATTCCTAAAAATATAATTTTTTTTCGATTATTAATGAAAATAAAAGAAGAGAATGAAATAATTATGAAAGTGTCACGTAGTAAAAAAATCAGTCAAGGGAATAGTGGGGAAAAATGTTAGCACACAGTTTAGATTTCTCTTTCCTAAATGAATTAAATAATCACATTTCCCAACATAACAGTTTAAAATCGGTAGGCAGAAATGATAATTTTATTCACTGAGATTTATGATGTGAGAATTATGTAATCTATGAAGAAGTTCAGACGAGTTTGGTGAACGAAACGTTGTAATTAGTTAAATTTTAATCGCTGAGATTAATTCAAATATAATTTTCACATATAATGACTTGGCACGCAAATTTTTGTCAAACTATTCGTTCTAATATTGACGAATATTTGTATAAATCAGTTATGTTGCTTTAAATTTTTAGAATACTCATTTGATTATTCTTTGCATAATTCCATTTCTTTCTTTCTAGTTTTATATGTTTTGTTTATTCGATATCTATCTAATTACTTTCAAAGAAGGATAGTGGCTAGTGGTTGGATTCAGGACGCGCGTTTCGTCCTATTTAGGACTCGTCAACTGGACGTACTTGCATCCCAGGGTATGCTTTGGAGAAAACGAATTAATTCAATAACATAACTGGACATTTATATCATAGAAAATATGAACTAAAAATTTATCCATTGAAATAGAGCTTATTCTAAACTCATTGCAAATTGTGATTTCAAGTAATTTTTAAATAGAAAAAACCGTGAATTTTTTCTTTATTACTTAAAGTGTATAGAGTTAAGTTTTAGGGGAGACTAAATAATTTACTGGTAATAACTATGTGAAAAAAATTTGAAGAGAACTAATCAGGTTGCCTAAAGATCAACATGCGGACGTACACTTTATTGATGATCCTCAATGGTTTGGAAATGATTTTGAGTAATGAAGATGAAAATAATACATTTGAATATTCTTCATAAAAACTGTAAAATGATGTAGGTTAGAATTTAGGCTTGAGACTAGGAGTTTGAATTAAAATTTAGGATTAGGATTGTCAGCATTCAATAGCTGTTAACTGAAATCTGACTGCGCCATCAGTTAAGTATGCTTTTGATGAAAATCAATAAGGTACCACCAGCAAGTAGTATAGGTGTGTATTCTAATTCAGTCAGTTAGAAAACAGAATAGATTATTGAAAATTTCAAAGAATTTTGTCGAGCACATAACAATAATAAACATAACGATAATAATACTTTCTGCTTTGAATGGAATGTATTTCTTTTTGTAAACCTACATAAGACAACTAGACAGATAATGAACTTCATTTTCTAAACAATGAATAGTTGCGAGAAAATGCTTTAAATTATCAAAGTATTATTTGTAGAACATGTTTTAACATTGGAAGACTAAATTTTTTAAAATCATTCCATGTATAGTTTCGTTGATAATTGACTGTTTAACTCTGCCTGGAGCCCCTCTGGGACTGCTATCGGTCTTAAACTCGGATAAAGGAGGAGAGTTAGGCATGGGATTAGCGACCCCATCCCATAGAAAAGTAACTCACTAAAAGACACTAAACAGAAAAAACAATTCAAATCATTTAAACTGTGCCCTGGGAGTTAGAAGTTCTTCATTGAGAAGAGTTATGACGTTTCATGATGAAAGCCCAGTAAGATAATTGACTATATGTAATATTTTGGTAGGAATTGTATATCCTTTTGTGTTAGCTAAATAGTGACGACTACTTTATACATGGGTATGGTGATGACATATAGTTCTTGTTTACAGAAAATATTATTCTCAAAATTCTTTTTAAAACAAGTTGATAGTATAAATTTTAGTATCAAATTAGATAATATACTTGAAAAGCAACACAAATAAAACAAATAAGAATTTTAATTTTGCATTCAGACGAAACCACACATATTAAATGACTGAATGAGTAGTTTTGCACACGACAAACGTTAATGTGACCAAGATTACCTCCTTTTGGGGATTTTAACGTTTCTTAAATAGGTAATAATCAGTTTGATTATCATATACGAGTATTTTGGAAAATATAAAAAAATGCTTTGATTTTTCAAGTGGTGATTTTATATTAATCTTTACTCCAGAAAGATATGCATCATTTTTTTAAAATAATTATTACGTCATGCATCATTAAAGTAACTATTGAAAATTCAAGTTAAGTTTTCAGTGTTTTAGGTGTTATTCTTTTGTTGATATGTTGGAGTCATCCAGAAGATTTCTTGCAAAAGACCAGCAAGCATCAGGAAACACTAAGAAGCGTTTCATCCAGTCAGCGTTCACTTGAAGTTTTAGCTAAAAATATCAAGGAAGTGAAACGTCACATGCAGAGGTTCTGATTGGTTGGTTGCCACACTGTTACTATGTTTAGTAGCATTCCACAATCTTCTAGCAACCCAAGGACATTTAAAATATTATAAAAACCCTGCATTTTCTGTATTGAAATAAACCTTGGAGTAAAGTACTTCTCGCATACTTTGAGTCTTCTCTCTCGTTGTTCAGGTCGCTGTTTAGTTACAGATATAGCTTAGGAAATGAATATAGCGTTCAATTCGCAAGACTTATCATGATATTATTGACTGGATTTTGATCACTTTTAGTCACGATATGTAGATCCTGTGAGGATTGTTTCAATATAGACATTTTGTCACAAAATTTACAGAAAATATGGTTTATGGCTAGCAATAGAGTCTAGAACGCGCATTCCATCCTATTTAAAACTGATCATCTGAAAGTGCCTGTATGCCAGCTTTGATATGAGTAACTACTTGAACTCAACGGCTAAGAGAATAACGCGTTTGGAGTTTAAAGAGGAAGATATTGGTTTAGAATCCCACACTGAATGTCAACTACTATGTGAGTACCTTAATCTGATGAGTCACGAATAGGACGAAACATGCGTCCAAGACTCCACTGATAAACAGAATTCATCTCTTTTATAGAACAGTGAAAATATGTTTGTGTATATGTATAAATAAAGTGATGTATAATTCAAAATTCTATCAGATATAGTGCATTATTTGAATTAATTATCGAAATGTTTTCAAAGGAATGAGAAGAAGAATTAAAAGCCATCAAACAATAAAGGAGGGAAAACTCGATTACGGAATTCATAGACTGATATAGTTTATTTCTAATTACGTGCGATATTTCATTGACTTCCACAAAAATTTACTAAACAAGGTAAATGAACATATTAAACATATAATTAAATGATATATTTAATTACTAAATGAATAATACATATAGTATTTGTAACTTACCCATCAACGCTGGTGTATGTGAGAATTAATTTCATATCAATACATTTAGCCGACGGAGCTTTATATCCAGTAATCGATTGAGCTTCATGAGTACAATCCACTAATGAATTTAATGAACTAGGCAGAGTAGTACTACCATCCATTAATGTTAAATATGCTCTTAGCCTGCATAAATAACAAAAATACTTTAATAATATATGGATAGTGAAATTAGAAAAAAAAACAGTGAAACATTTGTAAAAGATATTTTTCACTTGAAACGACTGTTAATAATTTCAGCGTAAGATTTCTTGGTGGAGATTTATGTCAATCCAGAAACTATGAATCATAAAAGTAGATCTTGTAGAATTCTATACAGAAATGATGGACTGACTGACTGTATTTCAAGCAACATTTATTTCTTAAGTGAATACACTCAATAAAATGTTTCGAACAATCAATATTAGATTTTGCATAGTTTACATCACGAACTGATCTCAGTTAAATAGCTGTTGAATACTAGGAAGCACTAGAAAGTTATCACTTTCAAAAATGGCACTCTTCTATTTAGGACCCCACTGGGATTCAGAATTAGAGGCTGCAGGTCTCGCTCCAACCTCATGACCTTTAGACTATTCTATTAAAGCTCCGAGAATTAATTATTGAAATTAGTCACTAATTAACATATGATTATTAATAGAAATGACTCATTTAAAAATAAAATAGAAGTACTTAGTTTTCCATAGTGTGTATTTACCATTCTAAGACCAACAACTGACAACTATCAGTTAGTCGTTTTTGTTCTTGAAAGAATAAACTGATAATGATTTTCTGATTTATGAATAAAAATCCTTTATATAAAGATCAATTTCATGTAGTGTAGATGAATGTAATACAATCTCACAAGCTCTATATTTATCTATAAGAAAATGTTTAAGCTTTGTAATTCACTTATCCAATTAATTTCTGTTGACATCTAACAGTGTTTGAATGATTTAAATTGAAGTTTTCTAACATCGAGGAAGACCATTAAAACTATATGTAATACAATAAAATTCGTGGCTGAGTTTTGTACCATTTAGTAGGAACAAGGAATGTCGTTTGACAATTCGTTTATTTTGTAACCAGTCAGATAAAAATCCATCAGATTGTCAGTGTATACCATATTGAGAGAAGTCAGGAATAAGCAATTGTAGTTATTGATTATCACCATGGTGGTTAGCCTAAGTTACCATACATCATCGCTTCGACAAGATGAAATTAGTAGAGTAAATAGTAAGGAACTTGAGATAATTTTAGTAGAAATTATAGTGAGAAAGACTGAACATTAAGAATATGACTCAGGAGAGAGGAATGATAAGGTCACATAGTCACTTAGTTTCATTGACTAAACTGTAGAGATCAATTATATATATATTAATAGTTGAATTTACGAGTCGATCTCAGAAAGACCACGAGTGAGAACCTGGTATGAGGCTCCCCAGCAGTGCACATCAGCGATCCTGCACTTGATATTCGAACCCATTACCATCTGTCTCACGCGCAAACGCTTAACCTATGAAACACTGGGCCAGTGTCTAACACTGTTAACGTATAACTTCAATCGATCCAATGTCAGGATAAACCATAAACTTTAAGTTTATTTAGCTAAGCTTCAAAATAATTTCGGCAATTTTTACTCGGCGCCCAATTTCTGTCAAACTATTAGTTCTAATCTTGACGAATATTCGTATAAATTTTTACTTAAATTATTAAGTGAAATATCAAGAACATATAACGTGAATTGCTTCATTGATTTTTGGATAGACGTTGAAAACATAGATCCTAAAAATCAAAGCTCAAAGATAGACGTGATTTGAGAATTTCTAGTTATTTCACGTTAATGTGTAATAAAAAATTAGTGTGTAAATTAAAAAAAACCGTAAAACAATTTCACTCTAAAGGAGATTACTTGACTACAGGTCTAGCTCGTAACACTGCAACAGAGCTAGACAAAGCTGCTCCAACCGCCATATCCGGATAACCATTTTCATCTAAGTCGGCACCATTCAATCCAAGTGAAAATCCGAATCCTTCTAATGGTCTTGGACTTTGCAAATCATTTGCACAGATTATCTATGTCAATTTCAATAGTAGAAATATGAAAATATGACATACCAAAATCTCACACAAATGAGTAGAAAACTGTATTTCGGACTTCAGAGTAAATAAATAAATAGCATATTTCCTATAAACGTTCTACTCAATGCTCAGTTTATTTGAAACTATCAAGTTCAACCTTGACATTGATACCTACAAACTAACACAAATCGTTTAAGCTTTTAACGTTGACAGACAGTTTACACCCCTACATCTGTACCAAATAGCAATGAGGGACAGTAAAATAAAATATAGATCAATCAGTGACATCAAGGCAATTTTCCTGCAGTCTTACAGATTACTTGAATTATATCACCTATAATATATAACAATTACAAACCCAATACAGTCACAAAGTTGATCAGTACAAAATTTCAGTCCTAAAAGAAGGATATTTGGAATGAAATAAAATCTGCAACGGAAACATTCTAAAACTTTGAGAACATGTAAGTATCATTTGACAACTTTACAAAGTACTTTATTTTAAAAAAAAAACAACTCCAAAAAGCACATCAGAGCAGCACACATAATTATTAATTATGAAGTGATTAAATTTAGGGTTCTCTAAGAATTTCTGTAAAAAATTGTTCGATTTTGTATGCTTCTAGACTACTAACTGAGTGATAATCATAATCTTGTTTTCTAAATATGTTGATGTTTATCCACGTAGTAATAAGAACCGGTTTTGAAAATAAAACAGTTCAATATCATGATAAATCATGTATGAAACTGACGGTATTGAGGAAGATTAGGGTAAGATAATGTCTACTATTCGGTAATTGATCTGTCCATTACCTGTAAGAGACATTTCCTAATAAAAAACTATAAGAATAATGATTCTATGACAGAATCGATTATTGAAAGCTTATGTTGTGATGTGTGCTACTGGTATTGACACATATAAGTAGTATGTATCATCAATCGAAAGTGAAATGCCTGGTGGCAGAAGGTTAAGCAGTTCGAAGAAAAGAGAATGAGAACAGTGAGTGATTGTTGTGGAAATCAAAGAACAGGGAATTCTGAGAAGATTGATTGACATTTGCAAAAGGAACAATCAAATTTGAGACAATTTGTTGAAAATTTGTAAATGAACTATTTACTGTACGATTCTCAGATTTTACTAAGGTGTTCTGTAATATTGTGTTCAAACACATTCGATTGTCTCCACTTGTGTTCTCGTTCACTACAATATTTGTGAAAAAACTTTATTACCATTGAATCTGAAAAGGTACTTCGTCTAAAAACACTAAGAAATACAACAGTTAAAATGTGAATAATCTTATTAGCTAACTTCAGTTATTTGGTTCACTCATTTCAGTTTTCTCTTAAAACTAGTCCAATAAATCCATTAAGGAAACAACCCATGAGATGTTGACCTCAAAATAGTCTAAAAAACGATAGATCAAATCAAACAAAAACACGAGTTACTGACCTTCGTTTCAAAACCATAAAACACATTTATTATATAAACTTGCTGTTTTCAATAAGGAGAGCTTTTAAATGTTAGAATATTTAAATTGCGGGCAAATGAGTGTGAGCCAAATAGTCTTAGCTTTTGACTAACTCTGATAAAGCCATTCTAGTTTTCCTTAACTTCATGTGTATATTCTGTTTCAAGAGTAGATTTTCAGTGTGTTATTTATTACACCATGTTCTAGAAGTTTGTATCATGGTATCTAAGGTTTTCTTTATTGAGGACACAGTTTATTGATTATCATTTATGACGGCTAATCAAAACATCAAGGTTAAATTGATAATCAGTAAACTGTAGTCTAGTTGTTTGTAAAACAATTAACTTTAATTTGTTATGATTTGAAACATTATGAAATAGTTTATTAATTGTTTTAATTAAATTCATCAGTTTATTATGACATTAAGAAGTAAGCATTATTTAAATAATTTATCAGTATATGTGACAATCAATGGATAAAGTTTGTGGTTAAATTCTACTTGTATGTCTATCATAATTTACAGACAACACACGGCATAAATCTTCCGAAAATTAAGAAATATTTATGTGCTAGCAACTAAGTTAATTAACAGACTTTTCAGTGTGATAAGACGGTGGTTGGGGGTAGTCAACAGGTAACTCTGAACCTAGGTTTCGTGCTATTTGGTACTCGTCAGCAAGGTGTACCTGCAATCTTGAGGGAACTGATGCTCCTAATGGATTCGATCCCGTATCACCCAGCTTCACGGTCAGAGACGTTATCACTAAGCTATCTGGGCCGCGACTAACCTCTTGTTGGACTGAGATTTATTTACAAGTGCCAAGTTGCACGAAACCTAGGTTCAGGGTTTCCTGTTGACTACCTCCAACCACCATCGTATCTCAATATAGTGCACGCAATGTCGAATCACACAGACTAGTGGCTACACTGCAACTTAGTCGATAGGATTCGGTCTGCACTAAGAAGGACATACATGACATTGATCACCACCCAGTGATCAATCAATTGTAAATTTTTACTGTCAACATTTCAACTTATATCGGACTAATGAATACACTTCCAGGCAATATATATTGAACTGATGATGGGATAAACAGTAGTATTTATATGGTTTTGTTAGGTGTTAAACTATTTTTGAAGACATGAATTTCAGCTAATTATTAATCAATAAATTAAGCTTGAAAACCAGTAAAAAACCTATGAAAGCTACTCTACCAAGAACGATGACTTCAATTTTAGAGTAATTTGCTTCCTATCAATAAGTCATAGGTTGTAACCCTACTTTGTCCAGTTTAGTTTATGCAGTCCTATAGAATGATTATTTCTCACACAAATAACATGGTTCGAAGCTGACTAAATAAGTTTGAACTTGTTTGTTGTGTTATATCAGTAATCAAATGAACTATGAAAAGATTATGATGATGATCCAATAATTTAAGAGTTCAAATCTATGGAAACAATAAAGTTCTATAAAGTATTAGTTGTTACTTACTTTAACATTTACTAACTGTCTGACTGAAGTATAACTTTTACAGTATAAGCATTCATATTTAAACAATTAGACATATAAATTAAATTCACCGATTGTTTATCTATTCATTCGGTAAAATTAATGTGTCAAAATAAATTAATTGAAAACAAAAAAATATAGTTGAATATCATTTTACAAAAGTAACACATCTTATTCAATGAATGAATAATTAAATTGTACACATTATTCATACAAACAAAAATCAAATTGATACTACTGAATAAAAACAAAAAAACAAAAACAAAATAGAATTAAAACATTGAAAGACTGAATTTATTGTGTAAATATGTGTGGGTTTTTTTTATGTGGAATAAAATTTCAATGGTTAAGATCATGAGTCAATTGAAGTTAGACCACCATGGAAAACCTGGAAGCACTGGGACTCCTCAGCAGTGCGCATCCACGACCGCGCCCCTTGCGAGATTCGAAATTACGATAATATTTACAAAACCCATCTGATATTAATCAACATATGCTCACTAGTGACTGGCTTCAAGAGGTATATCTTAGAGTTCTAGTGAGAAGTAGTGACGAGTGAAGTTCAATCAGGTCTGTTGTGAGATAGTAACTCACTGAAGACAATGGTGGATGTGTCGCTCAATTTCGTGGATTAGTTAAATTTAGACATTAGCACCATTGGATGCCAGCTCAGTGGTGTAGTGGTTAATTGCTCGCGCGCGAAACCAGTAGGTCCTGGGTTCGAATCTCGTAGGGGGCGAGGTCGTGGATGCGCACTGCTGAGAAGTCCCACAATAGGACAAAACGGCCGTCCAGTGCTTCCAGGTTTTCCATGATGGTCTAGCTTCAACTGACTCATGATCTTAATCATTGAAATTACTATAATATCCACAAAACCCATCTGATAGAATAAAATTATTTGTAATTTGATCATTTATTTAATGACTATAATGAGTGTAAACATTTTTTAAATTTTGCTAGACTATTATCATTTAAGTTTTTGGGCGATAAGCTTGGTTATTGTGTACTGTTTGACAGTAGTGATGTATTATATTATTATTCTATATGTAAAAAGAAAAAGTACAAGACTTAATTAATTAAATGTATTCTGTGGATGATGAAACTTCTTGCCTAGTGGTAACGATTAAATAGTGAGGACAAAAAGTCAAACTTTTCCGATACTACTTAGATCATATTGGATTCAGTTTGTCAAAAAAGAAAAGAAAGTACTTAGAAATGTATTTGATTTTGAATTGTTATATCTTATTGATTGTGTTTTAAACCTCCTTAGATGTCAAGTAGTTATTTGTATTACTTTTGGTTTATGATTAATGCATAGTACTAAATAATTGGCGGCTAGTGTAGTTTAACAACGACATTATTTCGAACTCGTTTGTTTAAATAATTATTTTCTGATTGACTTGATTTGACCATAGTTTATGTACATGTTAGGGCAAAGAGATATTCTACGGTTGTTAGATTTTATGTTTTTTAGCTTTGACTAGTTATAATTAGTTATGATAACACAATAAAATCTTACTAATGATCTTCATATTATGCTAATCCGTAATTGTGATATGGTTATGATTGAAATTGAGAGCGAAAGAACACAACCTGCTTTATTTCACAGTTCTTATCTAGAATTCTTTACAATGGAACTACATTTTCACTTGATTGTTAACCGTGATTATTTTAGCAATTCTGATGGTATAAGCAATGATGCAGACAATTTAGTGATCAATTCTTATGTAAGTAATATGAGATTCAGTGGTTCAGCTAAAATATTATAATTGAGATGATTTAATACAATGAAAATGCAAACTGAAGACAAGTTTTGTAATGGAGAGCATTTATACGATGAATGAATATGAAAATTCTGCAGACGTCTCTACTCGTTTGTACTTGTGACTAATAATTATGACATTTCAATTTATATTGGTTACTTCGTACTCATTCAGTTGACTAATTCTGAACTCATATCTACTTACATTTTACATACATGTGATAGCTTAACTGTTATCTGAACATTTTGATTG